GGTGCATCATATCACATGAACTACTACACTCAAACTGGGCTACTGACGCATGGACACGGGAGCAGTTTAAGCCATCACCAGGTCACAATACCTGTTGGCTATTGAGCTAAAATTTTTCACCATGTTAATATGACTGTCTGAGAGCTGCAGCACTTCAAGAGCTGAATCACAAGTCTTGCAGCCACTCTTGCCAGATGGAGAGGGACAGCCTTCAGAGGCTAGGGTATACAGCAACACACCAGCTAGACCAGTTATCTCAGCTTGACCCACAACCCAACATTCACCCAGCCTTTAAGGCTCAGGTTAAACACCATGTTGACACAATTACAGGTAGAAGTCTTGAACTGAAACCTACCAAAACCACAGAGACAAAATCAAACTAATGGTAAAAGGACAAGTCTGTTAGAAAATAGGAAAAAATATGTTGATAAATTTTAGGAGCCTTCAGCCAAATTTTTCTATTTCCATAGTCCATAGTTAGCATTATCTTTGTGTCTGTAGAACAATTAAACATAATACCTACTTAAAACCACAATGGCTATCATAAAATAGTGTAATGCAGATGACAAGGCCCTAGTCCTCCTCCTGGTTTGGCAAAGCATCCAATAGTATCAGCACCACTCCCAATCAGATTTTCCCAGGTGATGAAAATTGCCAATACCCAAACTCCTTAATAAATCAGTATCTGAGCAAAATTGCTAGAGCTCAGCTTATCACAGGCTGTCACAAATGGTGTTCCAGTTCTTGAATATAAGGGAGGCCTCACAAACCAACCTTTAGTAAGCCTCTCAAAGCAAACTCTCAAAAGAAGCAAGGAGATGCAGATGCACAGCTTCTCCATGATATAGATCTGTACACTGACGTGTATTAAACCTGGTAAAAACCAGCCTGTAAAGCTGCCCCTGTGGAGATACCCACCTGAACCTCATTCCCTTAGCACAGCCCCAGAGGGCAACCACCACCACTGTACCTCCATGGGAGAGGAGACACCAGAAGCTCCTCTGTACAATACACTAGCCTGTGGTGGGAAAGGTCAGTGCAGAAACAGCAATGCAGGTGTAACTTTATGTAAAAATCTGTTCTTCAGCTTCACTAGTGGTGTTGCACAATTGTTTTTTCCATAAAATTCCTGAGCAGTATTTCACTGCAACAGTAGTGCTTTTTCTGTTACCCCCAATCCCTAAAATCAGAATAATGTCTTCAGTGCTTGGCTTTAATTCTATCTTTGCTGCTCCCCAAGCAGATCAAAACTGAGCCAGATATGTCAGCACAATATCCAATAATGAAAAACATTAGCTATTAATGATTTAGCAACACCTAGTAGCAACTGCTTTTTGTTAAGTTCAAGAACAATTTTCCTGAAAAAAAAAAAAAAAAGGGTAACAGTAACTGGAGGGTAGAGCAGGGGAGACCTAAACTTGCAAACTGTAGCAAATCCAACAAAATTTTTCTTCTTGATGGCAAGAGATAAATAAAATCCTTTACATGTAGCTCTCTGTGGGGAACGGAGCATTAGTACAAAGAGAGGCTTGTGTCAATTCTTTCTCTTGCTCTCAGCAGAACAGTTTTCCACACAAGCACTCTCAGGGCAGGCAAAGGGGTCAACCATTCGTACTGATCAATGCTGCAGTCCGGCCCATATGGTGGATAGGAAAACTAACACTCCTTCAGCCTAATCACAAGACCTCTTTTTATGAGACTTCATGACTTTCTGTAATCAATAGATTTTTTTCTGTAATTGTTCTGATAAACCTCTAGAGACCTAGAAAGCACATCTCACAAAAAGAAAAAGTTCTAGTTTTTGGCATTGCTCCGGCTTTTAGAGGTAAAAGAGAATCAAATTTGGGCCTCCCACTTAGAAAATCTAGGAAAAACAAAGTCATAGGAAAGATTATTTCAGTCCATGATGCAGGAGTGATGGGATTCCTTTTAACACTGTTTGGTGTGAGGATCACTGCATTAAAACTTTCCAGATGCTCCCATTTACACTCAAGAGAGGCTAATTGGACATGTTATTATGCATCAAATTATCGTATTAATACAAAATAGGTCAAGCACTTACCACCCAAAACTTCAAACAAGTTCTGCCACACTATAATTGCAACACGACTACACATCTTTTCAAAGGAAAATCTGCAGGGAGCAGCTGTTCTCACATACAAAAACATTTGAAGACATTTGTGAAAGGATTCCCATGGAATGAACTATGAAAACTAGTATCAGGTGCAAGTCTCAAGAGCATCTAACTGATGTAAAGCCCTTGCTTCTCATTTTGGGCTACTACAGGAAAGAATCAACCTTTTTATACTCTCCAGTATGTGACTGTCTCTACACAATGACACATACCCCTGCTGCACAAGGTCTTGGTATAAAATGCCCCACTAGATTTTCACACATACCAGTTGAGAAACTCCAGAGGAACCATGCAGAGATCAACTGCACCAATGCATGCAAGCTGCATGGAAAGCCTAGTCACCCCATACTGAATCTGTTTAGTTTAAGGTAACATGTGACATCAGTATTCCAGCAGCCTCATTAGCTCTTCACCAGATGGCATCAACTGACTTTCCAGATTGCAGGCGTTCACTTGACATGCTTGTCAAGGGACAAAGGGAGTTGTCTGATTCCATCACTGACACTAACAGACAAAGGGGACTGTGAATAAAGGTAAACTAGGACTGAAGTCTTCTGCAAAGCATGTAGCCTGGTATTTTTGTGCCACAAAAATCCACCTTTCCTTGCAGCTTAGTATATATGTAAGAACTATGAATGGCCTTGACAGTGTTATCCTTTCACTCAAAGAATTTGCTTATGGGGCCACCACGGGCTTTTGCATTTCATACAGTTCAAAGGGCTTGCAACACGAGCCAAGAAAAATCTATAGCCAGCTGGCAACGCCTGGGAACATTTGCAATCTTTACATTCAGTTTACCAGACTTTTCCTCCCCCGCTTACTCCCTTCCCAGTGCTTCAAAACTAGAAACTCTGACATTTTTATTACTATGAAGATATCAAACCCCAGTCACATTTCACCATGAAACAGGAAACTGTCTACTGAAGCCTGCTAAGTACCACCTTTTCTTGGAGATATTACACAGCCCCAGCAGATTCACCAACCTCTAACTAAAGGTAGTCAAGTCTCTAAATATTCCCCAGACTACTTCTCTCAACCCACACCAGCAAATACCTGTTGCCATAGGCTACCAGCTGCGACTGTTGTAGTGAAGCTCAGTAAAATGTCTGACTTGAAACTAGAATTACTTGGGGGGACCTGGGACATGGCATTTCCAACCTGAGTAATACCAATTTTCAAAATGAAAACTTGAATTCAGAAGTTCTGATGCTCCTTTTGCTTTAAGATCTTTTGTGTTTACTCTCCATGCAGGCAGCCAGGATTCACTGTTATTATATACCTACAGCTTTCCTCATCTAATTCTAAGGGAATTTGATGAATTCACTGCTGCTGAATCATCCAAGATGAAAAGCAGCTGAGTAAGAAGATACACTAGTCTGAAAAGGGAGAAAAAAAAAAAAAGGTCTTAAGGCAAGCCAACAAGATACAGCCACTGTCAGTAAAAAGCTGGAAACTGACTATTTCAACAGGGCAGGTGTCTTCCCTGTTCTCTTTGCACTGTCTGCACCAAAAGCAATAGAACACAGCTATCTGTCCTGTCCTACTAAACAAAAGTTACAGCATGACTTAAAACCTTTACTTGTTCAATTCAAAAATAATATAGAACTGGTTTTAATCTTCTAGTTCTTCACAACTGAAGAGAGGTATCAACTGGGAAGCAACCAAAACCACAGTAAATGAGAAAAGAAAGTAAAGGTACAAAGACACTCAGTAAATGACACTTCACCTACTCTCAGGTAGGAAGACACAAGTCATGAAGAGCTCCAGATTCACAAAATGTTACCTACTTAGCTCTTCACTATATAGGCTGCCTCCATCATTAGATGCCTTTACTGCATGAAGCACTTACTCCTAAGTAAGAGAGCAGGCTGCTCAGTAAAGTTTAGTACTAAACTCATTAATTGCTCAGTACATTTACATGCCTGACTCCATGCTCCGAGCTGGAAAAAAAAAAATTCACTTGCTGAAAGCATTTCTAACCATAGATCCCTAAGTAAAAAATGTAGTGTTTTCGGGACACCATCACATAGCCTTTGGCTGCTGATACAGATATAGTCCTTTCCCTCCTCTCCCTGTATCACCAAGTGTGTACTGAACTGTTAAAACACAATCTAAAATAAACCCCAAAGATGCCAGTATGAAGCAATGACTGCTGGAATATCTATGCCTGCCCTCAGTTATTAGCCATGAGTAACATTACCTGAACAGTGTTATACAGACACCTACTGCTAATACACAGAGATACAAAAATCCATGATTTCTGAAAACAAGATCAATACCCAAAAACTAGTCTTTGCCCAGCAAGGCAGTCAAGGACTCAGAAGTGAAAGTGTCTCCCCTTTTCATTGTGATGAAGATGAAAAGCTGCAGGACAGTGTCTTAGGTAAAAACTAGTAGCAACTTCACCACTTAGAGCAAGAGTTACCTATACCCCCCCTCAAGATATTTCCCCCCCCCAAAAATCAATCCCCTTTTTCATATGCCATTGATCCATGTTTCAAAGGTCAAACCACCTGCTATGTAGACTTCTTTCAGTGTCAGCAAAACATAGGTTTTCAACTGGCATTCTTCTGTGCAAAACTTGTAAGTTCCACTGGTCTACAGTAATGCTCCACATTCTCCCCAAAAGGTGAATCTTGACGTACTTCAGCGTATTTTTCAATGCCAATTCTTTTAGCAGACACTGGACTTTTTTTTCCAGAGTTGTGTTGCGACAGCACCTAGAGTAACCTAAGAGGGCTACCAATGAAGTACTGGTGACTTTATGCTTTGGTACAGAACTGTCACTCACCCAGACAGTAAAGAAGTCCCATGAACCAGTTAATCCCCATCTGTGCTTATGGAACTCAAAATTAAAATGAAATTACTCTGTTATATGAACAGTTGTTTATTCAGCCATTTTTTTGCACTTTACAGCTGGAATTCTGGAAATTCAAACACCACATCTTTGCCTGTGAGCTTCTTGTAGACACCAGAAAATGTTTCCACCTGTGAAGACAAACAATCTTGTTTATAGATGCTGTGTAAGCAAATAAAATCTATGTTAACATACTTCAGGTACTACACTAATTCCCACTGCATCTTCACTCTGAGGTTCATTATTTTCTTCTAGATTAAAGTATCTGAGCATTTATACAGAATACATGTTTTCACAGTAGTATTTTGAACCTCTCTGATTTGCAACCATAGGAAACGTGGAGAGCCGAGTGGTTCTCAACGTTCCCACAGAAAAAAACCTAAGCAAAGTAACGGAGGACTTCAGACTGTACCTGCTTAAGGTAAAAACAAAGTGCTTCACCCAATATAGAACAAAAAACAATCCCCAAACATCCAACAAAACATTGCTTGTTCCCATGAAGGAACCAATACAGCTACTTTATGAACCAGGGTGTTGGTAGGTTGAACTAGAGCTTTAGTTCAAAACTGTCTCACCTTATCTTCAGCATCTTACTCCAAATACAAACAGAAGCTTCTCCACTGCCACAAGTCAAAATACTCTTTTGCTGTACCACGTAAGCAGCCTCTCAGCTATGTCAGAATGCCACCCCATCCTGTGTAAATAAAGCTTTTTCATTTACCTTATGTTCAACATTGTTCTGTTGTGCTTTGTCCAAATGGACTTTTATGAGCCTGCTGCCGTCCAGTTTTACACGGATTCTCTTGCCCACAATTTCACTTGGGAAGACCAGGTCTTCAAGAATGGCATCGTGTACTGCAGTAAGTGTACGGCTGAAACGCCACATATGTCATTAAAACATGTCCTCTTGCAAATTTTCCCATTTACTAAGGCTTAAACCTTACACAGTATGCTTGAGCTGAAAATTCAGTGGTGTTTTGTTTTAATGCTGCTGTGTGACAGTAACACAAAGGTCATGCAAAAATAAAAGTAAAATTCTACACTGAGTACAGAAGCTTAATGACTGCATGAGGAGAAAATGTCAGTGGGCAAGCTTCCCACCTTTTAGATAACATGGTGATTCACAGTAACAGCCCTTAAATGTTATTTTATTTCTATACATTTCAGGAAGATTTTACTTAAATCAGAGCCAAGTTGTCTTATCTGCAATTTTGCCAGGGACGCTCACTGAAAGAGTTTAAGTGTGCAAGTACCTTTAACTACACAGAGTATGCTCATAGGAGACTCAGTTTTGAAAAAAACAGATTTGTCTGCCTAAACCCAAGCAGCTTAAAACACTAATGAGTAACATGAAGTGGTTAAGTTTAGTCCATGTTTAGGACTACATTTGTGTTCTTAAACTGTGTGGAAGGAAGTCAAAATGAGAAAAGTGAATCCAGGTTATTTTGTGCATGAGTTTGTACGACTAGCAAGACTTCCAGCTTCCCCATCCGCAGTTTCAAGGCAGTATCACTAGTAACTAAGATCTGTGCCTACAGCAACATTTCAAACTTGCAAATATTGGGATAGCTAAGGAAGACAAACATCAATCACATTTCTGTGCTTCAAAACATACATATCACTTTTACAACACTACCAGCTGGATCTAGTCTCAGGCTGAGAAACTGACAGTCCTGCACACTCTCCTTCCTATATGCTGGAAGTGGGAGTGTGCTAATCACAGATAGAGATGTCAACTTCTCCAGCCCCTGTGCAATACCAGTTTTAATGTAACAAACAGCCCTCTAAAGGACTGCAGCTAGATGAGTACTATAAAACCACACCTTTAAAGTCTACGCCTATAGATTTAAAAATAAAATAGATATAATGCAGGTGTAATACTAGAGCTGAGAGAAGTTACAGGAACATGTCATAGAGATCAAATTTTAAGACATGGACTATGTAACAATATAGTAAGATAGAGAACAGTACAGAAGAGGCACCGACATCCACACTGACATAGTAGTGTTGATTGTCTAGCAAGAGACTAGATGAGAGCAGGGAGGCCATTTAAGACACGATTATGCTACTGTTACTAAAGACATACACCGAGAGACCACTCATACCCATGCCCTCCTTCAATCACTATCTCTCCCTTCAGTGCACCAGCCCTTACTTGTGTAGTCTGATATGTCATGTTGCTCTTCCTACAGCTTAAAAAAAAAATTTAATTCTTGCCAGCACGCTGTGGTAACAGAGACAGCAGGTGGGGATTTCTTAACTCAATATTGCTAGCTAAAAATTCGCTACAGCTGTAGCTGGAAACATAGATGGAGCTCTAAGAAATGCAACACAGTGGAGCTTTTTAATGCACCCTGCAGCAAATGGCAGATATAATTTCAAGTAGTAAGAGAAAGCACCAGACCACTAAATCACTTCAATGACTTCTCAAAAACTCAACTGAACCAAACTTGACCAAACTACCAAGCTACAAAAGAAGGCTGTCATATTGAATCAGTACTATTTACTTACCTCCTGGGACGCTTTTGCTTGTTTTTTGTGCGGCTTTTTCTTGTTGGCTTGGGCAGAATCCTCCTCTGTTAAGGAGACAAAAGAAACCAAAAAAAGGCATTTCTCAGTACCCTAGTATTTACAATCAACTAAAAAACCAACACATGCAGGGTTTTTTTCCCCAATAGAAACAGATACATGAAACACTGAAAAAGGACTGAAGCACTGAAACACCAGCACTGAAACCTGATATTGATTGCAGAAGCTGAAGTACTGGTATTTCTTCATTTCTAATCTACTGATCCTGTGTTCCGTGCACTTAAAATTTGTATTTTTACCCCCTCCACTAGAACTACAACCACAGCAGTTTACTGTGTCATACCAACAATCTGAACATACTTCTTTGGGAACAGAACACTCAAAAAGAATTTTACCATTTCCATTAGATACAGCCTCTGGTGTGAAGCAGAGTAGTAAACTATCTCAATCCCAGGGACAGCTAGGTGAAATCTGAGATTGCAAAGACAGTTTGAATAATGAGATGTATTATAAAACCCAGATGAAACCTTGGCATTTGTGTAATCTGTTTCAAAAGCAGGATCTAAAGATATTTATATCATCTTGGATCAGTAAAACTTATTTTCTACTTCCCTATCTGCAAGGGTGTATGTTTTCAAACACTGAGTTGTAGATGCAGTTGCAGCCACTTGCAGTGTTTTCTACCAACACATCACAGCTGTTCCATGACCACATTCCTAACAGTCTTACTATAATCCAAACTAGGTCATGTCATATTCAAAAGCATTTCACCTACATCAGAACCACATACATTCCTTTCTAAAATATGGATTACTAAGCTGACAGGGAATTCTCAGGTACTTAAGTGAGCCAGAGGCACTTCACTAGAATTCTTCTTGACATGAAGATTCAGGGTAAGGTGGTCTGACACTGAAAATTATGTTATGAAGTATTTTTGCTAAAAAGAGATGCAATCTAACAGCTAACTGTCCACCCTGCAAACAAATCTCTGAAATTGTGTCCACCTCTTAGCACTGCCCAGAGAGCCCTCTATCACCGTTTCACAGCTTAGCTCCTTCCATAAATTCAGAATTTGAGACAGGTTTTTTTATTCCTGTTAACTTAAATTTTAAATGCTTAGATTACATAAGTGTAGCAAAGCTCCAATTAGTATTTCCTTCCTTTTACTTTCAAGCTTTGCTTCTCAAACTTCTGAAGCACTAAGAGACCAGAACAAGAATGTGGTATCCTCCTGCAAAAACATTCACATCTCACCCAGTTTCCACAGCCTTGGCTACTGCCTGAAATCACTTTAGCTTACATCCAGAAGGACATTCATCATACTTCCTGCTGGTACAAAAATACACATTATATCACTGTTACCTTGAATAGACAAGACCAGAACAGTACTGAAGCAATGGAACAGGTTATTTGGAGAGACTGCGGAAACTCCATCCTCAGATGTTTTTGAGACTCAACTAGACAAAACCATGGCTGAACTGATCTAATGTCGGCAATAGCTCCACTTCATGCTCAAAGCTGGACTAGCTGACCACCAGGGAGTCCTTCAAACCAACACTTAAATCACTTAACGTGACTTACCTGAGCAATGAACACCACATGCTTTCCACTGAATTTCTTCTCCAGCTCCCGAACTAGCCGCACCTGAATCTTCTGAAAGGATTTCAGCTGAGGAACTGGTACGAAGATAATGATGGCCTTTCTGCCACCACCTACTTCAATTTCCTAAAACAGAAGTAGAAATTAAACACTACACAGGGGTCAAGAAGCCATGTTTGGTTTGATCTTGAATCCTCTGAGCACAGAAATTTGATAGTCCTGCTTACAACTTTGGAAGGAAAAAAAAAAGCAAAATTAAAAAAAACCATCAGAAAACAGTACCTGTTTTAATGCATTTAAGATCAACAATTAAACACAAAAACCTCGGTCACAGTGCTTGTTTTGCTATAAGAGTAACTGGGCAATAAATCCCACCAGTCCTTTCAGAGCCATATCATCTGAATAGCAAAGCCTGTTCTTTCTGTGGGACAGGACTCAGAAGCTGGAATTCTAACTACACTGAACACTGATCCTCACATCTGAAGTGGTAATTACACGCTGATACAAAGCTTCAAAAATTATCTGCTTCTACTGCAGACTCTAAACAAAGTTTAGAGTAACAGATCTCTTACTTTTGAGCTGCTTCATCAAAATGGTCTTCTATACACCATTTGCCAAGGCCTGCATCACTACTTAACTAAAACATTTCCTTCCCCACCAAAGCAGCAAGTTTACATCGCACTAACATGGATTATTTTTCCCCCGGTTTCCTTCTCCAACAGTTGACTAAAACCAAAAAAGTTTATATAGGTTCACAAGCTACTTCTTCCATGAACCTAACTACAGGAACATCCTTAATCTCTAACAGAATGAAAAGCTGAATTGTTTTTCATCAATTACATTCCCACATAAGCTAACTCAGATGCCCATAGGGGATTTCCCACAAATAAAACCAAATAGCTAAGCAAACAATGACATTTTAAAAACTCCTTGAGGACAGTATGCATTGCTGTACTTCAGCAGAAGCAGTTCTTCTGAAGGCCCCTGAATACCAAGCCGACTTCTGAATTCCCTTATTCTTTCACTTAGCCCTAAGCAGCCATGCATCTGTGTCTGTATTGGTGGGCCTTTGCAAGAACCAAAAAGCAACCTACTTAAGTCTTGGCTGCAGCAATTAGCTTCAGAAGTTCAATTCAATCTCCAAGGCTGGCAAAGATTAACAGTAGTTTCTTCTTCCTCTTCTTCCTTAAGTTTTCAGTCGCCTTTGTAAACTAAAACTAAAATTTACAAACAGGCTAACCTACATGAACAAAGTCAGTCTACTACCTTGATCCACCTTGTATTACTTGGTACATAAATGAGCAGTTACAATAAAAAAAATTGTTTCCCAAAGACTATTACAGTTTGGGTTCCTGACAAAGATTCTGCAATGCCTACACTACCAGGCAATATTCACACATAAAGTCAGTTTCAGAACTCAAACCCTGTTCACAGAGACATAAAGTAGTGCTTCCATGTTTAAACAAATTTATTTAAAACATCAAACTGCTATCTGAGGTTTTACAATTACTTTTCAGACCAGTTCATAAAAGCAACTATTAGAAAATCCTACATGTTAATAGCAAATACTAAAAGATAAACCACAACAGCATATAGTAAAACAATTACAGGCCATAAGACACAGTTAAGGACACCACTGACCTAGAATATTAACATTTGCAAAAATTAAACACAGAGCCAGTCACCCGGCAGCTCTTGGTGAAGGCCTAGCCTACCTTAGCTGCTGTGATGTTCAACTCCCGCAGCTGAGCCTTTAAGTCAGAGTTCATTTCCAACTCCAGCAGAGCCTACGAAAGTGAAGTTGTAGAATACAATTCAATCCATAAGAACCCTTGAAACTCGAGTCTGTCCACAGTACCTGAGAGCAGTTCGATGCTTTTTACCACAACCAATATCAAAGATTTAACTTCCAGTAAGCCACAGTGATAGATACCACTAGTTCAACTGGTGGAAATACAGGCTGACTGCCCCCATTTTAAGTAAAACTAGGAAAAAGCACACATTTAGCCAGGATCACCAGCAAAGTTCTCGCCTTAGACAACTGTCACAACGCTGTCTCGATAACCTGTAGTTACTAAACAGCAGCAGGAAGACACGTACCTGGGATATACCAGACTCAAACTCATCTGGCTTCTCGCCATTAGGCTTCACAATCTTTGCGCTAGAGCTGAACATGGCCTTTCTGCAACGCAAAAGAACATCTCAGTTGTCACAAGGAACGCGTCTTCTGCTGCAAACACAGCAGGGCTCTGCAATCCGGCCGCTCATCCACATATGCTGAAGTGAAGACAGAAAGAGCCACGCAAGCCCCAGCACATCGCTTCAGGGGATGCCGACCACAACATGGAAAAACGATTCGAGGGAACGAGACCTGCCGGCCTCTGCGTCCCGTGGGTGCCCCAAGGCGGCGGCAACAGCTGCCAGGCCCCAGCAGCTCCCGGGGGGCCGCCCGCCCGCTCCCCGAGC